TTTCACTAGGGCTCCTTAGACTTGCTATTCAAAAAACCTTATATTAAGACAGTATTCACTAGTTTTCATCTTGTCTGGATGGGTCTGGTGAAAGGAATTGGGATAAGCGTCTTAGGATTCTATAGTGAGTGATTGTTATTATGACTAATAGCGATTGTCACAAATGTAAAGGTAGAAGTTTTGTAACATAAAGTGGAAGTAGTTAAACTTGCATTCCAGGAACAGAGGCCCTTAGGACCATCAAGGGAGAAGAATCTGAGCAGAATGTGGGACCCTATCCAGAGAAGCAACGACACCAGAGATGGAGGCAGAGATGAGGACATGGAAAGAGGGAGCAGCTGAGGACTCCAGACTCATGGAGAGAAATGCTGTGTGCTGGCAACCAGGAGGCAGGCTTTCAGAATGTGCCCTTTGGTTGTTTAAATGATTATATATTCCTGAGTGTTTCTGTGTACATGCCCCACCCCCAGGGGCAAAAAACAAAACAAAACAATATAAGGAATAGAAGCAAATACTATTGAATGATGATACACAGAGGAGACCGTAATCACTGCAATGAAATGATGAGTGTAAAATTGGCATTTCCCACGTAAAACTATCACTCCATTCACAATAAAAATATTTTCAAAAGTCAATAAGACACATTAGAAAAAAAGATGGCATTCATGAGAATAGGTTTGTATCTATTATTAAATATAAGCTGATGATGCTACAAGAACACGATGCTGATTCGATTTTTCAAAGATACTTCTTCATAGATGTAACTTCAATTACTGACGAGTAGATACGATTTCATTAACTCTGACTTTACAGCTACTTGTTATTTTTAAGTGCAGTCGAGTCAGTTCTGAACCATAGCAACCCTGTGTAAGGCTTCCGAAACTGTCAATCTTTATATGTGCCGAAAGTCTCATCCTTCAGTTAGCAGTCAAGTGCTTACCCATTGTGCCACCAGGACTCCTCTGTAATGAACTATCAAGAACATAGACTCAAACTTTAAACTCTCTGTGTAAAAGTCTTCCTCTTGGCAGCCAACCTTTCTCATTCTGATCCACCTTTTACATTGCTAACAAGAGTATCTTTCTGAAAATCAAATCTGATGAGTTCAAGCATAAATCAGAACAAAAATACCCATTGTCATCTAGTTGACCTTGTGGTTCGAAGTCCAGTGCTTAGCCTACAAAACCACGACGTTTCTGTTGCTGCTGGTGGTGGTGATGCATTGGAGTTGGTTCTGATCCTCAGCAACCCTATGCACAAGACAACGAAACACTGCCCAGACCCCCACCAGCCTCAAAATCACTGCTACACTTGCCCATTGCTGCTGCCTCTGTGCCAAGCCGTCTCTTTGGGGCCTTCCTCCTTTTTGCTGACCCTCCACTTTACTAAGCATGAAGTCCTTCTCTGGGGACTGGTCCCTCATGGCAACGTGTCCCAAGTTCAAGAGATATGTAGTGGCTGTTGTTGTCTGGTGCTGTCAGCTACCCTACGTAAAACACAATGAAACACTGCCTGGTCCTGCACCATCCTCAAAGTTGCCATGTCTGCAGCTGCTGCCATAGCCACTTTCACTCAGCAACTCATACCATCTATTTACGGAGGCCTGTTCTGGTGCTGGGGGATGATGCACTGGACTGCAGGGTCAGCTTGAACCGCACGGTTGCTGGTTCAAATTCACCAGCCGCTCCTCGGAAACCCTCTACAGGTTTTCTATGAGTCGGAACCGACTCAACGGCACTTAATAACAACAATCTATTTATTATAATATTGTCAGCCATTCCAGATACATTACACACTGCTGCCTCTAGATGGTGCAGTTACATTTAAGAAGAGTAAAAGGTTGTTCTTTGGAAATTCAAAAAAAAAAAAAAAAATCCTAGTACTGTATCTTAGCTTAAAATAACTATTACATTTTTCAAAAGATTAAAGGTATGAAAGATAAAAGAATAGCTTAATCTTTCTAGAAAAGGATTACACTAATTTAAATAGTTTAGAAGAACAGCTAGAAAATTCAAAAATAGATGCTTTAAATTGGTACGTATTAAATAAAAATAAAAGTTTCACATGGTACAGAACCATGTCAATTAATTACTATTGCGGTTAAGTGCCATCGAGTTGGTTCCAACTCACAGCGACCCTGGATGGGGTTTCCAAGGAGCGGCTGGTGGACTGGAAGTGCTGACCTTGAGGTTCACAGTCCAGTGCTGATCCTACAGCACCATACCACAAGTTCCATGCCCTTAATAGAGCAGCTTATCAAATGCCTTTCAGTGTATTTTATGTTGCAATTAGTCCAACCAATGGTTTCTAGAGAACTGCTTGCCACTGCATCCAATTCTAGACATGTTGTGTCTGTATTTCTTTCATTACCTCATTATGTTGTTGTTACTGTGTGCCGTCAAGTCGGTTCCAACTCACAGCACCCTGTATGAGGTTTCTGAGGAGGAACTGGTGAGTTTGAACTGCCGACCTTGTAGTTCAAGCCGACCTTGCAGTCTAGAGCATTAACCCGCAGCGCCACACCAGGACTCCATTACCTCATAGATTATTTCATACTGAAAACCTAAATAAGAAAATCATTTCGACAGGAGAATGGAAATGTCTCCCACAACATAACAAGTTGCCATCCAAGTGATTCGGATTTGTGGCACCTCCACACGTTAGAGCAGAACTGTGCTCCGTAGGGTTTCAATAGCTGATATGGTGAAAAGAGAGTGCCAGGTCTTTCTTCTGAAGTCCTCTGGGTAAACTGACCCTTCTACCTTCCAGGCCACAGCTGTGTGCCCCACTCAGGGACTCCTCCTACAGCATGTTGCTGTTTGTTGTCAAGTGCCAGGGAGTTGGTGCCAACTCACAGTGACCCCATCCATCCAGGGTTTCCACAGAGCAGCTGCTAGGTTTGCACCACTGACCTTGTGGCTGGCAGTCTGCTGTGCATCCAACAGCACCACTCCAAGACTTCTCAGACAGCATGCTTTCTTTGTCATTTAAACGGTGAACAAGCACAAAGTCACCAAATGCATGCGGACTGATGGGAAGCCATCTCAGACTCAAGGGAACCAGAAACCTTCTGTTTGTGAAAAGAATCCTCAAATATCAACACTAGTTTGACACCCAAAAGGGTAAGAAACTTAATGCGAACACAGCCCCTAACCAATGAGGCAAAGAACAAATGTGCTTAGTGGGCGATATCCAAAGTTTTCACGGACGTCACTGAAAAGACAAGCATTACGGGAGATCCTTAGGTTAAATAATCTATTTACTCTTCTCCTGCTTGATGGGTGTAACATACATGAGGGGCAAAGAAAAAACCAAAAAAAGAAAAAAGAAAAGAGTTGAAAAAAAAACTTACTGTATTTCTAGAATGCCTCAAGATTGCTTCTAGCAGTAAATTCAGAATTCACACACATACACATGTAGAATGAAAGTGGAAAATTCATCAATAGTGAATTTTAAAGGACTACTTAATACTTTGGTAAAATATTGTTTAGAAAACTGATTCAGAGCTAGAGTAGAACAGGGGTGTCCTCACTCCCAGGCTATCCTTATTCCATTTCTAGAAGTCTTTTGGACATACAAAGTGAATACATGATGAACTGATTAATGTCTTCAGTAATTCCTCCTGCTGAAATACATGTTGAGAGACGGTGCAGGGCCAGGCAGCAGTTTGTTCAGTTGTACACAGGGTCACTGTGAGTCTGAACTGATTCAACAGCACCTAACAACCACAAAACACACTTCAGAGATGTGTCTTATAATAATTACCTAAAATAAAAACTACAATGGTTAGTTTCCTAATGTTGTGCTCAGGAATCTGTCATTTCACTATTTCATTAATAAAAGATGTGCGAGTGTACGGAAGTCACTAGTTCCTTTACCCGTCAGAGTCACAAGCATTAGTAACAGAGGTAAATAGTAGAAAACATTCAATTGACTGTTATCAACGTAACACTGGGATAAGGTTGTTCTTCGTGATACTGTGACTTGGAGTCACTAAGTGGAAATTATCATCATGAGTCTAGATTTAAAAGGTGTCTAATTTATGAGAAGTAGTGTGAACAGGCTACAGACAGTGAAGTAGGAAAGCCTTCCCTGTTCACTGTGTTGTTGTTAAGTGCTGTTGAGTCGGTTCTGATTCACAGTGACCCCGTCCGTACAGGGTTTCCTAGGAGTGACCGGTGGGTTGGACCCACCAACTTTGTGGGTCAAACTGACCTTGCGATAAGGCGCTTATTGTACAGTACAGCACCACACCAGGACTCCACGTTGTTACGTGCCATCGAGTCGGTTCCGATTCACAGCGACCCTGCACAGGGCTGCTGAGGAGTGGCTGGTGAGTCTGAACCGCCAACCTTGAGGTTCAAACTGACCATGTAGTCCAGAGCTTGCCCTACAGCGCCATACCAGGGCTCCATTCACTGTGTATCGGTAAGCAAATCAATCACTTTCGTGCTGGAGAGAATGGACTGACTGGGCCTCCCTATCCCCCACCCCAACAATATAGCCTGTCTGTAGGGCAGAGGAGGACTGCTTCTTAGGGTTCACATGACTTTCAGTCTTTACAGGAGCAGACAGCCTCATCGGTCATCCTCAGAATGGCTGGTGGGTTTGAACCATTGACCTTGTGACTCGTGGTCTAATGCTTCTCCAACAGTACCACCAAGGGTCTCTGAATAAACCCCAACATCACTCCCAAGACCATTCCAAATTCAAAGCCTACTTGGAGCTGATTTACTTAGAAACTGACATGAAAACTCTTCCCCTGAATTCAATCCCATACATTTCACTTGGTAGGAAAGTCACTGTCTTTTTAAAATCAGAATTACACCAAAACAGCACATAGCATATAATGAAATGGAGCCATTTATGTTAAAAGTTAAGAAAAAACAACAACCTTCATTTGAGCTTAATTATGCATAGGAAAATAATCAAATGATTATGCATAGGGAAAAAAACTTCAAATATTCAGTGTTTATGCATCAAGTTAACCACCGCCATACCATTAAAACCGCGTAGTTACTGAGAGAGCAGCATTGCATCTTGGTGATGTTTTCATCTGAGTAGAGTATACGGCACCCATTGGATTTCCAGCCTCCTTGTCCATTCAGTAGATCAAAGTCCCACTGGGCAGCAACAGCATCTGCTCCATGTGCAATGCGACGCAGAGTCACATTAACAGGAACGTGGTGGGTATCGAAATTCACACCATCTGGAGAAAATGAGAAATAAAAATATTTCTGAAACAAACGTCATAAACAATTACACGTCATGGATCCTCTGCAATGGTTCGTTCCCACGAGTGGATCCCTAAGGCGAGAAAGAACAAAAAACACCAAAACAATCAGCCTTTTTTTTTGGACCAGTGAAATATACAGTGTCACATTATCCAGGAACCATAGGTTCAGCGATGCCAGACACAAACCTATTTTCGTGAGAATCACAGGGGTGACCACCGTGCGTCGTTTGCCATCATCAGCCAAATGAGTGGAATTTCCAGTTGCTGGAAAAAGCTTGCCATTGCGGAAGGCGATGAGCTGAAGCCTATACAGAGAGTCGTCCGTGGTTCTGGCTTCTCTTTTCTGTTTTGATGAGAAAAGGGAAGGTGGTAGCTGGATAGAAGCCTCCACAATGGTATTCTGAAAACAAAAACAGAGCAAACAAGAGTTTCGTTGGGATGGAGAACCTAGGAAGAATGCTTTAGACAGAGCTGTAAGTTTTCTTATAATAATCAGAGCACATGCTTTTTAAAAGCCTATGTATAAGCCTATGTATATTGCATTAGGCAAATCTGTGGCACCAGACCTCTTTAAAGTGTTCAAGAGCAAAGATGTCAGTTTCAGGACTAAGGTGCGCCTAAGCCAAGCCATGCTTAACTGCATATGCATGTGAAAGTTGGACAGTGAATAAAAAGACCGTAGAAGGATTGATGCATTTGAGTTACGGTGTTGGAGGAGAATATTAAAAGTACCATGGACTGTCCAAAGAACAAACCAATCTGTGTTGAAACCAGTATAGTCAGAGTGCTCCTTAGAAGCCAGGATGGTTGACCTTCATCTCTCATAGTTCGAACACATTATCAGAAGGGACCAGTCCCTGGAGAAGGATATTATGTTTGGTAAAATTTAGGATCAGAGAAAGAGAGGAAGACCCCCGATGAGATGGATCAGCAGTACAGTGGCAGCAGAGATGGTCTCTGGCGTAGCCATGATTGTGAGGTTGGCGTAGGACTGGGCAGTGTTTCCTTCTGTTATGTTAGGGTCGCTATGAGTTAGTACCGACTGGATGGTACCTAACAACAATATGTATAAAAACTTGAATAGCTAAAACAATTTCTCAGTGATGTGAAATGTCTGAACACCATGTTAACAGCCATGCATTGAAAGAAGTGTGAAATCAAGAGAAATGCAAACTCTATCTCAAAAAGTTAAAGATGCAAACCAGGAATTATTTCAAATAGCAAAGTTAATTTTCCCCTGACAGCAGACACTGTTGACGCAGGTAGCATTAAACATTAGAGTCAGGATCTATCTCAAAGGTCATCGTATATGTCCATTTTACAACGCCAATATCAGGTAAATCAGCACAAATCGGGCATATCACAAACAGGAGCATAATTAATATAACCCTATGAAACTGTGAGGTGAGTAATGATCAAATCAAAACACAACAGCAAAAATAGAAAATATAGAAACATAACACAAGTTTAGATGCAACCAACTTCTGTTTTAACAAAAGCTTACCTAAGGCTTTTAAAAACCACATTAAGAAAAGAAGACAATATTGTACTGTAGCAAAAGGTAGCAAAGGAAAACGCTGGTTTACCATCAATTGTCTTTCAACTTTCTTTATTAGGAAAGTTAATGTTATAAATAATGCAGGATTCAATTACACACACACACACACATACACACAGGCAAATTCTTAACTGTCTGATAAATCCTATTTGAAGAACGCGTCAAAAAGTCTTCCTATGACCTTCTCATTCACCAACAACCTGACCTCCCTCCCTCCAGTTCAACTTTCATCTGGCTAACAGAACTTTCCCTTAAACAAATGTAGTCATGTTATTTCAGTTTAAATGGTACCTTCGTTCTCCAATGTGTAGAGGCTACTACCAGAACATCATGCAATTTGTCTAACATTTACTTCTCAAATATACCCCAAGGCTCACTATGATGGTAGTTATGTGCCATGGAGTCGGTTCCAACTCATAGGGATCCTGTACAGGGTTGCCAAGGCTGTAAATCTTTACGGAAGCAGAACGCCTCATCTTTCTCCTGCAGAACAGCTGGTGGTTTCGAACTGCTGACCTTACGGTTTGCAGTCCGATTCGTAACCACTACACTACCAGAGGCTCACTAAACTACAACCTAAGTGGAGGCCAGCCACATGAGTCACCCACTTTTGAGAGTTCCTATGATCCTCGTGGGGGTTATGGGGGACTCAGTGGGAGAAACCTCCTTCCATGCGAAGATCTCAGTTTGATCAAGGACAAGAGATGGAACATGCTGGCAGTACCGTCTGCTGCCAGTGGAGGTTTGCTTGTGATTTGCTATCATGTGGAACAGATTCCAACAGAACCTCCAGAGTAACAGAGAACAGGAAGAAAGGCCTGGTAATCTATTTCCGAAAATCAGTGAAAATGATAAGGATCAGAACAGCCCACTCTACAACTGATCCATGGTGCAGGATCGGGGAGCAGTTGGGAGACAACTCGGGTGACATTTCTGTGCACTGCATATGCCATACTCCTCCCTAAAGTGTTCCACTATTTTTAGTCAAGGAGACTTGGTGACGCAGTGCTTAAGCACTCAGCTAATAACCAAGAGCTCGGCAGTTCAAACCCACCAGCTGCTCCACAGAACAATGTGGCAGTCAGATCCCATAAAGCTGACAGTCTTGGAAACTGAGTGGGGCAGATCTCCTCTGTCCTGCACCAAGGACCACTACGTGTTGAAATCAACTAGTACTTACTGTGGTTCGTGCTGGATCTGGTTGTTTTTAGGAAGATAATTCTGGATCAGAATAAGAAAGTTTGGCAACCAAAAGAAAGACTTTTACACACAATATTTACATTTTGAATTTTTGTTCACTGAGTAACCCTGAGTATACTGAGGTGCCGTGGTGGTGCAATGGTTAAGCAATTGTCTACTTAAACTGAAAGTTCAGGTATTTGAATCTGCGAGCTGCTCCTTGGAAGAAAGATGTGGCCATCGGCTCTGTGAAGGTTCACAGCCTTAGAAATCTTATGGGGTAGTTCTACCCTGTCCTATGGGGTTGCTGAATCGGAACTGAATGGAAATGGGTTTGGTTTGATTTTTGTGTTTCAATAGAGAGCTTTCTTTGTTATTTTTTTTAGTTAGTTGCTCCCTCTTGTGGACACATATACACTGCACACACTGCTATCAATATTCATACTCTCAATCACCTCAAATGGATGTGAAAGCTGGACAGTGGATAACGAAGACCGTAGAAAAATTGATGCTTTTGAGTTATGGTGTTGGAAGAGAATACTAAAAGTGCCATGGACTGCCAAAAGAACCAATAGATCTGTTTTGGAAGAAGTGCAGCCAGAGTGCTTCTTAGAGGCCAAGATGGCCAAACTTCATCTCTCATACTCAGGACATATTGCCAGGAGGGAACAGTTTCTGGAGAAGGAGATCATGTTTGGTAAGATGGAGGGTCAGAGAAAAAGAGGAAGACCCCCAGCAAGATGGATTGGCCAAGCGGCAGCATCGATGGACTCAAGCATGGCAACAATAGTGAGGTTGGCCCAGGATCAGGCAGTGTTTTATTCCACTGTGCCAACTCAATGCCACCTAACAACAACTAGTTTTTACAGTCTACACTATCTTATTTATTCTTTACACTAGCCATGCTATAGTTCCTGGCACTTGGATTTGACAGAAATGGCTCAATACTTATGAAATTAATTAAAGTTGGGATGGGTATAGTGCATTATTTAATGTCTCTTCTAGACACAGTCTTTGTAAACTCCCTCAAAGTAACTTCTTCCTGATAAATCTGGAAAAGAGAACTGGGGAGTGCGGTGGTGAGGGAGTGGAAGATGCTGATGGATTTTATGATTCACCTGTGAGTGGTACAGGCCTGAGACTATAAACACCTGTAAAGCTAATGAGGACCTTGGTCAATATTACCATCCTGCTGGGGACAGCGTCATCTCAGAAACATGAGCGGGGAGCTCATGACCATTAAGACAGAAGAGCCAGGAGTGGAGTGTGTCCTTTGGACCTGAAGATCCCTGTGCATTGAACATCCTGGACCCAGGGACAGAAAGCTGTGACACGGGAGGAGTAGCAGACCCAGGAAGCAGAGCATTGGGCTGGCTTCCCACAGAGCAAGCACAGCTGAGTGACTGTGACCAGGACACTTGCTTGCAGCCTGGGGTGCTTCCAGGCACTAATTAGGAGCACTTAGGTTTGCTGAGCTGAGGACCTTTAGACTGAGGCTTATAGTAAGTAGAATGGCGTGTCCTGTGGGCATCTATCAACCCTCCTACAAAAGCTCTGGACCACTGGCTGGGCAGAGAGAGGCCGGCCTGTGGACACAGCTGAGGAGAGGATACCCTGACTGGAACAACTGTGCTCTGACCATTTCTGATCCTACACTGAAAACTGTCCACTTCCCCAGCAAAGCCCTTAACTGGGAGCTCAGTGTGTGAGTCCTGTGTGGTCATCGCAATGAATTCTCGAGCCCAGGTGAGAAGTAGTGAGTGCTGGGGGAAGAAGGGATGGTGTCGACAGTTTTACAGGATATTTGGATTTAAAAAAGCAAACTAAAACAATGAAGATTCCCTCAAACCATTGTACACTGTTGATATCCAAAAAACGTTGAGTACAAGTATTTTATAAGTATGAATATTGGCAATCTGATACTACTTTAAAATGGGAAGGGACAAGAAAATATTTTAAGGGAATATTTTTGCCTATCACGATTTTGATTCTCACTCACAAATGCCACCTGATATTAAGAGAAGGTTTACTACACATTTGTTCAACCAGTAAATTTCTATTAATATTAATTTCTCAAGTTTATAATGAGACATGCAAAGTAGGGAAAACCCCACAATTAATAATTCAAAATATTGGTAAAGCATTAAAAAAAAAAATTAACACTTTTGAAAATAGAACCATGAAATGTACAGAATAATTCTGTTGTAGATACAAAATGATTTGAACAGCTGACACTCACACCCCCACCATCTCTCTGTGTCCAACAGAAAAGAACTTCTCCACAGGGTTTGCTAAGGCAAAGTCCTTCCATCCTAGGTGCTTCTGGGTAGGTATGAACTGTCTTCTGAGAAGCCCCTAGTGGGTATGAATCTCATGCTTGGTAAAGTGGAAGGCCACCCAACAACAATGATCTTTCTAGAAAATGTCTGAGAGGATCAAACAGAACTATGACTACGGCACTCACGATATGCTATAGAAATGTGAGCATCATTTTTGCTATTATTACTGACCCAGCATGGAAAACAATTACTACAGGGTGAGAAAAGAACAAAAGGAACTGACTTAACAATAGAACTTACAAATAAACCCTGTCATGTTCTGGTTCCAACAATTCCACCCTAGTATTTATTTTAATACTGTTGTTTTGTCCCAACTCATAGCTA